GGCTTCGCGGCGGCCGGGTCCGTCGCCATGTTCAGAGGTCAAATTCGAATCTGAAACAGAGAGAGGAAATTTCTGGTTATGGTTGAAGAGAGGAAGAGGAAAATAGGGGTATTTATAGTGGGAAGAGGAAGAAGACGCGGAGATGGCCGACTGCGTTTCCTCGTTTTCCTCTTTCCAACCAATTTAGATGCGGTCCTTCTCCTTCCTTTTGGTCAATAAAAATCTGCCCCCCATTTTTGATTTTTGATTTTTTAATTTTACCTTTACTATTATTTTTTTTTCATTTTAGTCCCTCAATTCTCAATTTTTCAATTCCTGTCTTTATTAAAGAAAAAAACAAAAGCAAATTGATTCTATTTTACTTTTAATAGATATATAATATGACTTAAATCAAGATATTTAACATCGTTTGATAATGTTCTTTTTCACTTATAAATTTTGAGAAAAATAGGTGGCAACTATTTGTGTTTTTAATTTCTTCCTATTAAGAAACCTTTCTAAAATTGTATAGAAATCTTGAAAAAAACAAAATTGAATTTCTTGCTCTCATTTTCTATATTTTTTTCCAAAACATGAATAGACATTATTTTATCATTCTGACTTATTAATGTAGGATAAATATAACATAATAAAATTTTGAATATTTAATTTACAAAATTAAAATTTTTAGTTTAAAATTTTAAACAAGAAACAGGAGAAAAAGTTATTAAACATGTTTCTAGTTTTTTTTTTAATTAAAAAAGAGAAACAATGTAGTTCTATTTTAATAATATTAAAAAAGAGGAAACAAGAAATAAGAAATACAAATATTACTACACAAAATCTTAATTTAATGTATTGATATTGGCATGCATCAATCAAAAAGATTATTTTAAAATTTTCAAGGTTGAAAAATAGTTATTTTTTTAAGTTTAGATCCTACCATAAAGATTAAAATTTAAACCTTATTTCTTAATTACATCTTGCATTTATATATTATTTTCTTAAATAAGTTCTCAAAATATCCCATGAATCCACTTGCAACCAATTCTCTAACGATGGTATGACTTTACATTTTTTATTGAAGTTTAAATTTTATCTTGCATTTATTTTGAGCTCGTCATCAACATTAACATTTGAATTAAAAAATATACAAATAGAGTAAAAAGTTAAATAAACTAGAGTCTGCAGACTACAAATTTACCTACCACTAATAAATCTAATATTATTAGACTGTATGACAAATGAAATAATAATAATTTTTTTTTTTTGTGTTCTTATTCTATTTTAATAATAAGGTTACTTTATTTCTTTTGTGTCTCAATCTCAACGGTGAGACTTACTTTTGTGTAGGAGATTTTTTCATGCAATGATACTAGATGACAATAATGCTCTTTTTATCCTTCAATGCTACAACTCTCCTTTTTCTCAATCTTCTTTGGTTCCTCAAATTTTCTTCAAATTCACACCCCTTTTGTTATTCTTTCATCTTCGATCGTTCCTTCTTCCTCTTCGTCTTTCATCCAAAATAGAAAATGAAAAATGGAGAAATTATATATCTTCAACTTTAGACTAAAACTAACCGATCGAATCCACCAATTAGATTAAACAAGTTTAAAAAAATGTCAGTTTCCATTTTAAGAAAATTTACCTACGAAATTAAAAATTTAAACACTCCACCAAAGCCAACATAACTCAATGAAATAATTAACATATATGTCAAATCAAAAGACTGTGAGTTTGATGTTTTATCCTTACATATTGTACTCAATTAAATAAATAAATTTAATCACCTATCAAACATAACTCTAAAACAACAAGATATAGAATTTTCAAAATCGAAATGGAATATAAAAACATCACAATCGAAAATACAAAATTAAAAAAAGAAAATGAAGAATTTTCTAAAAAGAAAGAAAAAAGAAAAAGAGCGTAAATAGACGCCGTGTGGGGATCGGACGCGTTTTCCACACAAGAAGGAAAGCAACCGACTAAATAATCACTATCCAATTTTGAACCTCTTATTCCTTGACGCGTGTCCTTTTAACTTCCTATACACGTGACCCCCCATCTCCCCTTTCTTAAGTTGATTTAATTTGATTTCCGTGCAGAATTTGTACAATCCAAGCCTAATCTAGATCTTCGATTCTATAAAATATTAAACAAAATAATAGTCGGTTCCCTTGGATTTTTTTCCTTTTTTTAGTATGTCAGTACGCTTTGTTACTTCAATAGTTGATTTCAATTTTGGTTTCTTTTAACTATTTACTTTAAATTTTTTATTCATTTTAATTTATATACTTACAAACACGTCTATTTAATACTATTTTAATCAATTCATTTTTATTTTTATATCATTTTTCCTATCATAAATTTGGCATGCACTCACAAAATTTGTTAAAATATAATAATAAAATTGTATTGAAATATTTTTATTGTGTACAAAATTACTAATAAAATTTTTGGAATATAGATTAAAATGGTAATTTTATGATAACATGAACTTAAACTCAATGATAATTGACACATATCTTTGACCAAAAGATCACGAGTTTAAATCTCCAATTCCCATGTATGTCTACCTATCCTCCTCTGGGGACTGTGTTACCACAACAGTTGAGCATGAATGTGTTACGACAACAACTGAGCATTTACGCATTATATTACTAATCATCTCTCCTTTTGCTCACTACTCAAAAGAAATATTAAAAAAAAAAGTCCTATAGAAACTAGTCAAAAAGGAAAAAGAAATACGTGTAAGAAGAAAATATGGGAAATAATGTGATAGATCAAAGTTAAAAAGACTAAGAGCATAGGTAATAAAATCAATAAGTTTATAATTTGTGTTGAAAATAATAAAAAGTAAAAGTTGAGAAGATATCAAAATTTTCATTCAGCTTGAATTGTAATATTAAAAATAATGGATAAAGTTTTTCTTATCTATTAATCATAACATTATCATATCATCTTCATTTATATTAACACTTCAATTAGAGATTTTCATGTTTTTCTTTATTTTCCGTTGAGATTCTTTCATGAAATTTGTTTGGAATACACCTTTTCTTTTCGAACATTATAAATAAATTGCTTTTGACTACGATCTAAAATTTATTTTGTTTAGTTTTTCCCTTCAAAATTTCAAGTCAGATTTTAAAAATAAAAACATATTTCCAAAAATTATTCCTTTTAGTTTTTGGATTTTGACTACGATTTCAATACTCACTGAAATAAGATTTAAAAAAAAAACTAGTAAATAAGCATAAAATTTTTAAAAAATAAAAATAAAGCAAAAAAGGTCCACAGTTTAAAAATTGTTCTTAAAAAATATGGGCTAGCATTCAAAATACTGTATAATTAGAAGAAAAAAAAAAGAGGACAAGAGAATTATTAGTAAACCACCTCATTTATAAAACTATAAATAATAAAATAAAGTCATTATCAACCAAGCCAAACTATATATAATTTTCCTTTTACCATCTAAGATAAGTTGTTAACATAATAATGCAGCCAAAATCCCAGCAGGAAATCAGCTTCCAATAAATAGATTTATTCTACTATTAATCTTAATACTCAGGTGAAGTTGTTTGGCATCCCCTAAACATTAACACTAAAATCCATATATGAGAAAAAGGAAAAGGAAAAAAATAACACATCAAGTTTCTAACATTATCAAAGAAAATGTAAAGGCAAAACGATCAAACTTACGCATAAAATTCAGACCACGGAACAGAAAAGCAAATGATTTGATGAAAATTAATCACTACCTCATCACATTAAAAGATAGGATTACTATCAAGATATAACTGAGAATATTATTAGGTTAGGCTCGAGTAAGAATACTCAAGAAAGGAGAGGGTCCAAGTACCTCAAATTACTTAGAAGTTATTGTAATTTCTATATCTTTAATATTTCAGTATATTTCTAGTTCGAATCCTATCATAAAAGAAAAAAGGAAGAAAAAAGGTAGATGTGATTGCACCTTTTTTAATATTTTTCCCTTTTAGAAAGAACTTTGGTATATATTTTAGCAAACTAAAGATATGTTGTACGTCCTCGACATTAAAATGATAGTACAAAGTCATAGAAAAGAAAACTTTACCTTATCGCTGGATAACCACTCGATTCTCATAGCATTGCTTCGCCCTTATAACAAGTCGTTACCTATGAACCACAAAATGGAAATAAATTAATACATGAATATCACGAATTTCTAGTATCGAGAAATAGTTTGCATTCCCCATTGGACAAATAAAATATTATCCATAATCATACATAGTAGCATATACCAGATCATGTGTCTTTTCTCTCTTAAAATCATAGTCTACGTTCATATGGAATCCTGAATGTGAAAATTAGAGAAGTGAAAATAGTTCCTCAAATTGCTTTCAAATTTTTTTTTTCAAGTTCACCCTGGAAATTAACTTAGGCTTACAAGTGAAACATGAATGTTTGGCAGAAAACAGATAAGTCTATATAGAATGCAACAACCCTTCAACTGAGGAGCTACAAATGCATTCAGGAATGTTTTGAAAGGTCTATTTATGTCAACTTTCATGGTTTTGAGACCAACTATGCACATGAGACCTGCGAAAAAACATGGTGGCTTCAAAATAGAATCACAGGAATGGATGTTCCGGGGGTGTGTTCTCTGTTCAGAACGACCAAGCTTTTACCGAGATTTAATCCTTCAAATCTGTCAGGTCACGGCCATCTCTAGGTTGACTAGTTAAATCCTTGGGAGGTGATTTCATCGTCTCACTTTGATGTAATTTGTGAAGAATCCTCCAAGTTATGGCACCAGGGGCTAGCCCATTATTCCTCATCTCTGTGACTAGTTGATATGCTTCTCCTTTTAGTCCAAACTTACACGCAGTATTGATCACAATATTGTAGCCCCAGAGTCTACTAGTTCATATAGGAAATCGCAAGCTTCACTAAATTTTCCATTGTTGCAAAGCCCTTAGTAGAATAGACAAAACTATTACGAATCTTTGACGGCCAGACTATATCTTTCCAGAATCTCTTAGCTTCTTCAATTTTATTGGAATCACATAGCCCATCAATTACCACAGCATATGTTGTACTGTCTGCCAGGCACCATTCCTAACCATTCTGTCAAAAGGTATGAAATTTAAATAAACCTCAAATAGTAGAGCATTATATGTAACAACACGCAACATAATGCCTTTTTCTCGCATTACTTTATATAATATATCAAGAGATTCCTGGATCCTCCCAACATTCAGTAACCCATATATAATAGTCGTGAAGTTCACATAATCAGGGGCACAAAATTGACAAATCATCATATCATTTAATACCTTTAGAGCTTTTTCAATGCTTCCAATATGACAAAATCCCTTGATAACTGTATTCAGGGTAATAACATCAGATTGACAATTGGTTTGAAGCATTACAACAAATGTATTTAAGAGCTCGGTTGACTTATTTGCAAGGCAAATAGCTCTCAAGTATATGTTGTAAATTCAAGTTCTGTCGACACCTTCCTTGTCTATCATTATTTGAAAAACTTCCTTTGCCTGGATGTCTATCTCTAGGCAAAGACCTTCTACAAGAACCTTATTTGTAAGTTCAGATGGTGAGTACCCAAATTCAATTCCTTGCTAATAGAATTATGCGAGAGTAAACCAGGATTAAACCCTCTCTTCCTCATTATATATGCAATTCTTGAGGCCCCATGATGTCTTCTAGCTTTACAAAGTGAATCTATCATCTGCCCATAAGCAAATTCCTCATGCACACTCTGCCCCTGAGGCATATCTTCTACGATTAAAAAAACCTCGTGGAAAGAACCTGCTTGGCACAGAGAATCAATAAGATGCTTCGCAAGAGCAGCATTGTTCGTGAAGGGATCCTTTTCCCCCTTTTATCTTTTCCCAAAGCTTGCACATCAACGCCCTCCCAGTTTCGAAATCCTGCTTGCAAAGAAAACCATGAATTAGAACACTATATGTAAGAGAACTAGGCTCCGCGTCATTCTCAGGCATTTCATCAAACAGTTTCTTTGCAGCAGGTACATTACCAACACAGCAGTATCCATCAATCAAGGTAGTATATGAAACAGCATTTGGGCAATGCCCTCTACCCGTCATATCAAATAAAATCCTATGAGCTACATTCGGTAGAGAAAACGAACAAAACTGATAAATCAATCGATTATAATTCACTGTAGAAGAAACAAACTCAGGCTTAGCATCAAACAAGCAAACAAGTCTTAAGCGGAGATCCAAAATCCAGCAAACGAGCAATAAGAACATTACTGAGAAGAAACAGAGAGCATAAAACGGCAGTGCGCTTCATCGAAACGGCGAGCATCACAGAGACCGTGGATTACGCTACAGAGATCGAGAGGGTGCAATTGGTAGCCGTGGAGGCGAAGATCGTCGAGTAGCCGGATCGCTTCATCGACGTTTCGGTCCTTGGTGCAGAGGCAGTGAATCTTCTTCGTCCAGTAGGAGACGCTGGCGATGCTCTCTTCCGGTGCCCATTCCCAGCCACCCGTCCCATTTTCCGGTGGTTGATGGGGGCGGTTCCGGTGAAGAGGAGCAAGAGAAGCGGCGAAATGGCGATAATTTAAAGGGAAATTTTGATGGAGAGCGACCGATTTTGGGCGGCGGGAAACATTGCAGGCGCATTGTTGTGGGTTAGGACTTTAAAATTGGCGGTAGAAATTTTCGCCTTCCCGCTTTTATCAAATGCGACCAATTTGGGATCTTTGCTATACAAAGAGGGGCTTTTGTGGAAAATTGTTTTCCTTTTCCAATGAAATTGGTCTAATTTTTAGATTGTATTCAACCTTGATTATTATTATTATTATTATTGGGGCTAAATGTATACTGAGCTTAGCTTATGCTCAACGGGTAAGGCACGTATCGTTCGAATCTCCATACGTCCGCATGTGTACAAATATTTATATATATATATATATATATACACACACACTTTAATTTCTAATATTGAAATATTTTCTCGAGTATTACATTTCTATTGACATTACAACATTTTTATATGTTTACGGATTCGATATCGACATAAAGGATAAAACGATATTTTCATAGTATTGTGAAAAAATATCACAAATATAGATACAATATTACTATTAATCATTTTAAACTTAGTTAGAAAAGATGAAAAATACTTATTTGTTAATTTAACAAAATTTTTATTTATGTAACATTTTAAAAAATATTGATCAACGTCGACATTTTATCAATATTTTCATCGACATTTCTACGAAATTGAGACCTTTACATTTTTATCAACATAGACATTAACATCTAAAACATTTAGTCAAGAAATTGGGATTGAATTATTTTTTTTACTTCAGTTGGTTAAAAAAAAAATTCATTTGAGTTTATAGCTATGTGCCATATCTATATATTTTGGATCATCATTTGTCTTTACATAAAAAATACCAAACTCATTTAAATAATTTGCATTGTAACTTTTTTTTAGTTCCGGTGGAATTTGAATCTCCAACGTTTTAGCCGAAGATATATGTGCCGGCTATTTGAGTTATTCTCATTTTGGAACTAAAATTATGCATTAAATTCACATATTTCATTAATTAAAATAGATATTACATAGTGTTTTGTGCGTGTAAAGTATGTTCTCAATTCATGTAACTCGTAAGCCAACCTTAACATTCAAAATGACAGCATTGAAGATATATATAGATATAGATATATACATATGGTTAGATTGCGTTCCGGAAAAAGCGGTGTACTTGAAATTAGAAACGGGCGAGTATGCTCGTATACTTTCAACCGCACTATACTATAGTTGTGGGGCACTGTATACTGACAACCTCAACAATAAACAAGTGAATGAGGTTAGTGTGTGGCGAACGGAATGCTTCATCAAATTATTTCTCGTCCCAACTCTTAGCTCAATGATACATGTTTTAACTAATTAAATTACGTCGTTTGATGTTAATTTTAGTTATCAATAATATAGCATGATTTTTCATCTAACACACAAAAGGTTGAATAATCTATATAACGACTCACATGAAATACTTAGAACTCAACCAAGCAAGACAATTAATTTTGAAGAAGTTTGTAATTTTGTAGCAGAAATCGATGAGAGAAACAAAATAGATAGAGGCAGAAAATAGGGTATGGGAGAGAGGATTGAAAGGCGTAGGCTTAGGCTCTCTAACCAAAAATTCAGAACAAAATTAATAATTATGGAAAAAAAAAAAGACGAGTCAGAGTTGAGTTGAGAGACGAGTCAGTGACTCGACTCGAAAAATGAGTCATTTGTATATAATATAGTATGAATATCATATAGTATAATATAATATATGGTATGGACCAAGGGACCAGTAACTCCAAGGTCGTCGCACCAGACAGAACAAAGATTCTGAAACGACATATCCAGTTCATATATATAATAATATCTCTTCTATTTTGTTTAATTATTATTATTACTTACATTATTAACCCATTTTGGAAATGTGAGTATAATCCCTTCTGAAGAAATTTGATTACAAAAGTTCAACATCTCTTGGTTAATTAATTTACTAGTCAAATACGTCATTAAATTTTAGATCTTACATCTAATACGTCTTTAAATTTGTATAGGTGTTTAATAAGTGTTTGAACTTCAGTTGGTGTCTAATGAGTCATATTGGACGACATATAACTATGACTCATTAGATATCTAAGTTTTTTTGTTTTATTTTATAAAATTAAACACTACTTCACATGTGTTTTATTTTGCTTTCTTATCTACTTTTTTGAAAAAATATTTTCAAAATCTAATCTAAATTTTAAAAACTAAAGAAAAGAAAACACTAGTCTTCTAAATATTTGTTTAAGTTTTCAATTATGTAAAAAAAAAAAAAGTAAGAACACAGCTGAGAAATTTGTGATTTAAAAAAATATTGTTAGTCACTATATACACTAAAGGTTCGTTGGGTAAGGTTTATGTTTCTTCATTTTTAATAAAGAAAAATGAATTGCTGACCCTATGAATTCAATTATGATAAAATAATTTTTTTAATTTATTTTTGGAACAAATGGAAATGAGAACAAAAAGGTAGAAACTTGTTTTAATTGTTTCCAAAATGTTTAGATAATTTTGAGAATGTTTCCAAAAAGGAAAGAAACATAAAACATAGTTAGTTAGTTACAAAATGCTTAGATTTCTTAAGCAAATTGAAAACTAGAAACAAAAAACGAGAACGTTGTCAAACGTGTCATAAAAAAATCATATTCTTCTCTACCCACTCATACAGACAATTGGACCATATAAATCAAATTTTATCGTTGAAATTTCAACATTTAATTAAAACTTCATATGAAAAAAATATTCAATTGATAAATAATTTAAAAAATAAAGGAATAAACCGGAAAAATTCCTACATAGAACCTGATCCCTATGAGGAATCCCCAGCCCGATCTCCGCGAAAAAAATTCGTGGGAATTTTAACAGGGACGGAGAATGAAATAGCCCCCTCCCACCCATCCCAATGAATATCCCTAGGATCCATTTTCCACAATAATCTTTAAAATCCACAAATCAAACTTCATACTTTCATTTACATATATATCCTTTAATACTCCCATCCTACCTCTCACTCGTGTGTATATAGATATATATATATAAATAAAGACAACCATTTTCTTTGCGAGACCCTCATTACATATGAGCCCATAAGTAAAAAGCAATTAATCATACACCTACAAGTAGAAAATTCCACATACTATTGCGTAGATATACGAAGAGAGACTCGATATCGAACCGAAATGGATACATACTACCCTTTTGGTGCAAAGGGACTTAGGGAATGGAAAAAGAGCTGTGTTGTTGTGTTAAAGTTAAATGTGAGATTAGGGAGAAGATTAGATGATGATTGGGGGCAAAATATAATAATAATAATGTGGGATGGATTGGCAGAATGTTGGAAAGAGAGGTGTGTGGATGTGCAGAGAGAGAGAGAGATTATTATAAATACATTCGTACAATGTATGTGAGATATGATGGAGCCACCAGCTACACAGCTACCTGTGCCTGTACCCACAAACACATCCCTCAGTAGAAAGACAAAATTAAACCCAACAAATTTTTAGAGACAGACAAAGAAGAGAGAGTGAAAGCTCACAGCGGCAGTTGGAATGGAGAATTAAGTGTGAAAGCCACTGGACAACCACAACAAATATATTAACAAGAGAGACAAATATGCAGACCCCACACAAACAAAAAACAAATCGTGTGCTCCTTAAATTACAAGTTCGTCCGATTGTGACCTTAGATTGTCGGGGGTGCTCCTTTCTTAATCACGCTCTTGCATGATCTCGAGATCCCTCTCATTCAAATTAGAGGAGATATCTTAGCTGGAATACAATTATATCTCATACAGATTAACTATTGTTTAGAATCGTCAGTAACGTTGTAGCAATGTTTCAATGGAATGAGGTAAAAATGAAAAGGGGAAAGTGGAAAGAGCAAGAGGGGTATAAATGACGAAGGTAATTAATTACGATAATCCTCATCATCTCGTCATGTTGCTTTCCAATCTCTAATCCAAAAAATCATCCGTAAACTACGTAGTTCTTAGGATTGAGTCACCAAAATAACGAATGTGTTATTTCTTAATTATGCTGACATGATCTTAGGATTCCTCACATATAGTTTAATTTGTAGAGACAATCTTCGCTCTTTCAAGCAAGCAACGACTCAAGTCAAGCAAATAGCACACCCAAATTGCAGGGAAGACAGGAGAATGTCAGGGTCACTAGGTGTCGAACCCAAATTGCAACCTTGTAAATTCGCCACTAACGTTGTATCTAAAGCAATGTTGAAAGAACGGGGAGGTAAAAATGAAAAGGGGAAAGGGGAAGAAGAAAGAGGGGTATGAATGATGAAGGTTATGATAATCCTCATCATCTCGTCATGTCGTTTTCGAGTCTCTTATCCCCAAAACCCTTCTTCCAGAATCCCACGCTTTCCCTTTCTTCCCCCTCTGTTACTTATTTTTCACCTCTCCTCTACTCTACCTATAGTCAACTTCAATTCTTATATGCCTTTCTTCCATATTATTTAACCAAACACCATTTTTCTTTCTCTCTCTCTCTTTATCTCTCCTCTGTTATGTTATATTGATCAATCGCCATCTCTTAATGTCTGCAACTCCAAACACACACTTCAAACACTTTTCCAATACCCATCAAAATTCCTTCTTTTTTTCTTACTATATACAATACCAAAACCCTAATCCCACTGTTTTCCCCTCTTCCCATTCTTCCATAATTCCATTTTGCAATTCCCCAAACCATTCCCATCATACCCATTTGCTTTAAACTCCCCAAAATCCCAATAAACCGAAAAAAGAAGAGAAAAGTTTGGTTTTTTCTGTCAACTAAAGGCTGAAAGTTGCCAACTTTGTGTTCAAAATGTGGACTTTGGGGTACGATGATAATGGCGGAGAATTTAGCTTCTCTGAGCCCTTCAATGGCGGCCGCAAGCTTCGGCCTCTCGTTCCTCGACCTTTGCCAGCTTCTCTTCGCGTCAATGGCGCCAACTTCTGTGCCCAATATTACCATCTGGGTATGCATTTTTTCACCGTAAATTTAATCTTTTATTCATATTCTTCAAATTTCTATGACCTCATTTAATCTAAATGGTATGATTTTATGGTGAAATTTGTCAGCAGCAAGTTATTTGAATTTGAATGAGCAAAGCAAGAGAGAGTTGAATGATAGTTCGTCGTCGAGTTCTCCGGCGGTCGTTGTAAGCTCGTCGAGGTGGAATCCGACGGCGGAGCAGTTGAGAATTCTGGAGGAACTCTACCGGCGGGGGACTCGGACGCCGTCCGCCGACCAAATTCAGCACATCACGGCCCAGCTCCGCCGCTACGGCAAGATTGAAGGAAAAAACGTCTTCTACTGGTTTCAGAATCACAAGGCCAGAGAGCGCCAGAAACGACGCCGTCAAACCGCCGCCGACCAAACCAAACATTCAGGTAATAAAATTCCAACTTCAAACTTGTAATTCTTCATCCAAATTTCAAGGAAGAACATGACAAAAATTACAACTTTTTTTTTTGTTTTTGCTTGTTCATATTCATATATGATACATTCTTTTTGACTGTGTGTCGATTGCAGTTTGAAAAATTTAACGTAAGAAAGAGAGGGGGCCAAAAAAAAAAAAAGGTTGAATTCTTTTTGTGTTGGTTATTGTCTTCATACAGGGACAGAAAAAGGGTACGAAATTCAACAGACAAAGACGAACTGCACTACTACACTTTCACAGGTCTCTCTTCTCTTTCTCTCTCTACATTTTTCGATTAGTCTCTGTCTTTCTTCGGATCCCAAAACAAAAACCCATTAAAAAAAAACCCTTTTTTTTTAAATCCAGAAAAGAGAAGAGAAGAAATGAGATGGGGTTTGTTCAAAACTCCTGATTAGTGACATGATTAAGCTGTGGTGCATATCAGCATCATGAGTTTCCCCAAAAGAAAAGAAAAAAAAGGAGATTCATTTCTTTTTGGGGTTTGGGTTTTAATCAAGTAAAGTTAAAATTAAAGGTAGGTTTGGTTTTGGGAAATGTAAAGAAGGGCCCCAAAAGGCTGCATTTCTTCCCTTCTGTCGGGTCATAGGCCATAGATTAGGGCTGTTTTTGTTGATCTGTTTGGGATATATCATGTCCTTGTGGCTGCCTTATTTCTCTATATCTCAATCTCCTAGCTTAGCCCTATTTGGCCACGTACCCTCTCCCCCAAATTTTATACCCTTTTACTCAACTTTTAGGGTTTAGTTTCTAGTTTTATAAGTTTTTATAATGACTATATCTAGACATTTATCTGGGAAAAATACTTGGCTTCTTAATAAGGAGGAGCAACTTTGTCCTTAAATATTTAGTGGTGATAAAGATAAAATTGTTCATTACTAATTACGAGCCAGGTATTTTTCTTTAAATAGGATTATTATAACTTTGACAAAAGAGAGAAATGTAAAATATACATTTTTTTATATTTTTTCAAAAAGGTAAATGGATGTCAAATTTTTGACCAGCTACCGTTTGGGTATTTTTCTTTTTATGGTTAAAAGTTCAAATTTAACAAATCTTACCATATATGTTTAGATGATCACTCTTTTTAGAATGAGGAAGAGAGAAACATAGTGAACCTTAAATCCTCTAAAAGCACATTTTTCGAGTCATAGTGATATTATAGTTTTTGAATAATAACTCTTAGACTCCGAACTTGTTTTTCCTTTTATGTTTTTGAGTTCAAGAAATATTTGGTTGAGATCAAACCTTCAACTTTAAACTTTAAAGAACATAATAAAGTGTCTTATTTATTATGCTATATTTATGTTGTTCATATCGAAATTCTCTTGAGGCGGAGCTTTATGTCGGCTCATAAGAAAACATGTTTCAATAATATATTGATTAATCTCCGTGCAGGAACGTGAAGAAAGGAGAAGAAGAGAATGTGTGGAAAGAGACGGTGAACTTGTAATAAACCCTAGGAGGAAAACCCTGCACCACCGAAACGGCCTCGTGGACGAACCGTACCGAGAAAATAGTAACGGGCTTGTGCGGGACGGATGTGAAACGACGACGCTTCAGCTGTTTCCTCTCCGGAGCACCAAGTTGTGCAAAAACGAAAACGACAGCGAGAGGGAGGGACGACAAGAGGATCAGCTGGGAATCATGTCGGATTCGGACAACATGACAGTCCTCAAAACTTCCCCCTTTTCCCCCACTACTACTTTTCAGTTCTTTGAATTTCTTCCACTCAAAAACTGATTCTTCTTTTTTAATTTCTGGCTGCATGCTATTTCTAGCTGTTGACTTTATTACTAACATAGCAAATGGAAGATTAGGGTTCTTCTGTGATTTTGTTTTCACAATCTTTAGAGCCGCGTGAAAGAACCGACACCACATATATGTTAGAATGAACGAAGAATGAATTAAGCATATGAGCGAGGACTGCTAAAAACTTCAGAGAATCTTTGGTCTAAAAAATATTCATACCGGTGGTGGGAAGCGGAGAAATAGTTTCTCGTTTCTAATTTTATTAAGAAACTTAAGCATTTGACAATTATTTATATTTATTATTTCTTATCTTTTTAGAAGGATCTTCAAAATTGTACGTAGAAACTTTAGAAACAACCAAAACAAAACTTTTTATCCTTGTTCCATTTTACTCCAGAACATAAATAAAAACATTATTTTAGGTGGTTGGCTATGCAATTCTGTTTTTCTTTATTAAAAAGAATGAGGAAACTTAAAAAAAAATATAAAAAAGGTTGTGAAACGGCCGGCCCCCATACATATATGTTGGTGGAATGGTGAGCAATGCATGGAATATTGCAGAGATGTGAAATGACAGAGGAAGTGACATGGAGATTTATGAAATTGGGACTGGAAATGGAAATGGAATCTCTGAGATCTGAGAGATGGATTCCAATGGCGATGAGGGAGAAGAAGAAAGGAAAGAGATGACGTTGCTGAAATAATATGGGTTGTTAAGATCAGGTTTTGAAGTGACTTGTAAAATTATTGCTTCGAGAAGTTCCTTTTTTTGTTCTTTACCTGAATTACCTGCATTTTTAGTAAATTAAGGACAATGCCATATGCATATCACACACACACACTCATCTGTAAGAATCTCTTATCATTTTTACTTTACAACATCACATCATAAATAAGCAACCCCTCTTTGAACCCGCAATCTATGCAGAGATGTCTAAGCTCCTAAGCTGTGTTTATTTGACCGAACAAATTTTTTTTTTTTGAAAAATTGCCAATATGGATCATGGATGACAAATGATTTTTTCATATTTGAAACGGTAGACACATGAGACTCAAAATCTCGTACTAAAGAGCAAGGAGGTTCAAGTCCTCTTCACCTGTTGAATTGGAAATCACGAAATCTTGTCAATATTCTCTATCTAATGAATAGGAGTCCGCTTTAAAATCGTTTGCCCTGCACCCACCAGGATATATGATTCAACAGGAATCAAACAATGGTAGATTGATAGAATAGAAATCTCTAGTAAAACTTAAAAGTAATCCAGTAGATAAAATATATATCTATATATATAGTTGGAGAAATGGGCTAAAATATGAATAATATTTCATGTATAATTATTGATTCTTTCTCAAGTATAACTTAGATTTAAATATGTTAAAAATTTTAAATTAATATGCATAAAAATAAATTAAAGCATGGTTACAAAATATATATATATATAGTTTACAATTAAAACAAGAAAGACAATTTTAAAAGTTAATATGCAAAACAATTTTTAAAAAAATACCCTCAATACATTTTCTCCCTTGTATGTTAGGCACATTTTAAATGATTTGTACTTGGTATTTATTATCAATTTAATGTAGGCATTTATTGGCAATTAAGGCACACCAGTGTCTGAAAAAACTCTCTTCATTTTGAATAGCAACTGGTTGTTTGGTCATCCCAAATTAAACGCCAATTTATAAACATGACGGAAAATCTTCAATTCTTGAACTAACTATTAAAGGTACATCAGAAATTCGATTAAATATTTATTACTTTCCCAAAGAATAAGATTGAAGGTTCGATCTCCCAACCTCTCTAAAAAGTGAGTTTGAATCCCGCCCCTTGCATGTACTCAATACACTATTATCAAGATGAATGTTAAGATGATAGAAATATCAACCTAAAAGAGCTCAAGTGTAATGACGGAGAGAAATTTTATTATTCAAGAAGTTTTCAACAGTAGTCTTTGGATGAAATCTTATACCATAAATCAGTAATCAGAACTCAGAACTCAGTTTGTTTTCTTGGCAAAGATCAGACCCCATCTTTGCTCACCGGATAAACTTCGGTTGAGCTTCGCCTTCCATCCGCAAATGATGTCGTTATAACCATCCTGTATAAGAACAACTCAGACAGTTAAATGTATTCCAGACAGAATTGACAATAAGCCACATGAAGGAAGAACTGAGAGGGAACCAACTTCAGAAAAGTCATGGATAAATGTGTCCTTTTGTTCTTCAACGGCTTTGAGTTCCTGCTGCAGAACTCGTATAAACTGAAGGAAGAATGAAGGGTTAAAGTCAATATACACAGTTTCTTTTCATGTCATATTGTCATATGTGAGAGCAAGAGATGCAGAATTCAGACCTGGTTTGTGCGGTCCTCTGAAACGACTTTGCTGAAACCAGCATCCCCAATCATCTAGGAAACAAAAGAGAAACAAATTGAGATATGTCCGAAAAAGACGCAGTGAAAACACCTCTGAAAGTTAAACTGAATCGAAGCACCTGACCGTAGGATTTTACATCATGCAGATCATACCCTCTTTGCTTGATGTACTCGGCAAATTCGGGCGAGGAAGTTCCTGTGCTTCTGCAATAATCGGTTACGAAAAGTTTACCTTCTGGCTTCAACCACTTGTAGAATGATCTGAAGAGAGCAGGTTTGTCCTGGAACAGTTGAAACATGATGTTGAAGTGGCTTAAAATTCAAAGGGATATGAAGATATGAACTTAATTAGATGGCCTCACTTGAATGTGTAAAATGGTGTCACGGCTGTATATGACATCAAATGTCTGGTCTGGATATGTTTTCTTCGTACAGTCAGCAACTTCGAATTCAACGGAACATTTGAGTCCAATGACGCGCTCAAGAGCAAGAGAGATCATATTGATGGAGAGGTCGATGCCTACGACCTCGACATTGAAGTTTTCCGCCATATAGAAGCATGCTCCCCCAATGCCACAACCAACATCAAGAACCCTCTGACCAGACTTGAGGTCCAATTTGGCTACAAATTCTTTTGTTGTTTCTGATCAAACACAAGGAATCACTTACAGAAATGAGGATGTTCTAGAGGGTAAACGTACTCGGGCGAATTGTCGAATTGCTAAACAGAGTGGTTAAGAGCTCTAGCCTAACCAAGTTGTCAAATTCTTTGAACCTCTTAGAAACTTACACGACAAGTCGTACCTAAACCTCCAGGGCTGACAAATCCATGTCCAAAAACACGCTCATATCGCAATATGCCGCTGCTCTTGTATTGAACTGTGTCTAAGAATTGTTGGAAGCCTCTGTCGTTGTCTGAATGAACTTTTTGCCATATCCAGCAAATCTATACCATGAAACATGGGCCAACGCCAATCCTTTTCAAGATATAAAGTTTTATTGAAAAGATGACATTACAAAGAAGCAACCATGGAGTTAACGGAAAATAAGCAACCATGGAGTTAACGGAAAACACTCCATTTGATAGCCAAGATAGCACAGCAGGACATTTAAAGCTAAGGATGAACATAGACCAGGATTGTTCACCTGATTTTGACTCTCCTTGTCCCTCAAATGAGCTCCAGTGGGTTTGCAGCCAAGAAGAGAAAGTTCAAAAACGTTCCTAGAATCATTTTTTGTATAACATTCCTTAAAAACCTATAAAGTAGTAAAGATAGATGAAGAGTAGTATATGTTTTGCAAATCTGATTGGCAATAACAAGTTTTTATGGCAGAACACAGCAGCTAACAGATGCTATCATATTCTAAACAGTGTTTTTTAGGACTTAAGCATGAGGCAGACCAAAAAAAAAAAAAAAAAACAAACTTATTAAGACAAACAAACCTTTGAATAAAATCTTGGTTCCCTATATAGTGGGACAAATCGTGCCTTTTATCAGATTTCTCACAATGTTGGAAACAAGGCTCTCTGAAGAAAATATAACCTCCAACCTTCAACCATTTGATCATCCTTTCTGCCAGAGTTTTCACCTGAATCCACATACCAATTTACTTTGCTGATAAGCCAAATTTGAAGAAAACACAGAGACTACAGAATTACTAACAAAATAGATTAGAAGGTGCTACAACGACGCCAAGGAATCAAACGTAAAAACAAAATCATATTTCAGACAATATGCAGATCCAACAGATGGAAGCATGTTGACCAAACCGAACAACTGATCGGGCCTAATAAAACAAAATGATAACATAGTAGCTCTGTAGGAACTAAAAAGTTAACCAAATACAGAGCCAGCTTCAATCTCTTCAGCGGGTGAGAAGAACGAATGCGAAAATAACAGGAAAGCAGAAACAAGAGGATTTGAGGAATCCCATATGCCCTTTTCATATGTATCGACTCTTGTCATGTCACATTGGTGGGGTACTCCAAAACCAATATTCAATGAATTTTGCAGTCTTCAAACCCCTCAAATAACCCATGTTTTCATCCCCAACAATCTTCTCCTCAAATAAAGGACCACCAAGCCTCTCATCAAATCTTCGTCTCTACTTGTTAGGACACCGAGCTCCTCACATATGATATCGTTCGCTATGGGCCTCAGCCTCCCTGAAACCTATTAAGGACAACGGTACCCCAAGCATCTCCATAATTGTATGATTTTGTCCGCTTTGTGCATAGCCCTCACAACTTTACTATTAGTTTCACCTAAAAGACTTCTGAAGATAATTATCCTCTCTTATATACTATGGATCACTCCCTTCCCTAGCCAATGTGAAACTTTCTTTTTCACTCTTTTACAAACCCAACAAAAGCATATTGGATGCTACCAATAAAAATCCCTGGAGAAATTATCCTTACTTATATACTAAGAATTTTCCAATGTTAACTCGATGTGGAACAAAGTTCACATCCCAAAACTAGGTGGTCCATGACTAATGGGAGAAAATGGACAAGAAGATCAAGGCTGTTTCTACCTCTTCATCAGATAAATACATGAGCAGCTGATTTGAGAAGATCAAATCCACAGAGTTTTCAGAAATATCCAGTTCTGGAGAAGTCACATCAGCACATATAAACTTAACATTCTCACGATGCCCATTTATGCTTTCATTCTGCAAAAGTGAAACCTAACTAAGAAAAATAAAGAAACAAATACAGAAAAACCCAAGGGCTTGGTTCCATTTGTAATTACCTTCTTAATCGCATCCTCAATGAAGTCAACAGCGAGAACCTGCGCAGCCTTTTGAGCTAACTCCGCCGTGAAACGACCAACGCCAGCCCCAAGCTCCGCCACCGTCTTCCCTTCGTACGGCGGAAGCAGCGAAAGCACCTGCAGAATGCAGAGAGAGCGGAATTGGATTTATTTTAGGTCGAAATTTTGCTTTTATTGTCTTTTCAAGTTAGAGTGAGTGAGTTACTTCAGCCATTTCTTCCGAGTCAGTTTCAGAGGAATCCGAATCGGCGGTCAAATCTGCAGAATGCTCAATCCAATACTTCTTCTGTCTCTCACGTTCTTCCCCTGAATTACACCCATTAAAATAATCTCTGTAATCTTTCCAATTAAATTAATGGAAGTCGAAAGCGAAGTCGCAGAAAGAAGAATCCGTCGATTCAAGGGTATTCTGTTTTCCTATTGACTTACTATCAGCAACAGCGGCTCCAGCGAAGGACGCCATTGTTGAAAAATGGAGCTTACAGAAGAAGTACAATATCCTGATATCTGGAGAAGAAGAACATTCTTTCGAAATTGATAAATTGTTAAATATTATATTAGTTGGTTTTGATCATAAATCAATTAGTTTAATGTTTTTTTCAAAAAAAAAAAAAAATTAATGTTTTTTTTCCCTCTACCACGAAATTTAGCTCATGAGTTCCAATTTCTAGTGCTTATTTATTTTACTAAAACGTTTATCATTTGAGTTTTTGAAGTAAATGATATTTTAATCATTTTAATATGATATAGTGCGGAAAGATTGAATGGTGATTTAATCTAATCTAATATAATTATTAAATTTTCATTTTAATTCAATAACCTACATATTTAGAAGATGATAATTCAATTGATCAAAACGGTTGAATTTCTACTCTTTTTTATTTTATGATTTTGTTTGTTTTAATGGTCCAAGAGTTTGACTAAGTGAGCTAACTTTCACCCTTACCTACATTAAATCAAATTATCATTTGTAATTTACACGGATTTGACTTTTTTTCCCTTTAATCTTTTCTGAATTCTACATATATTTGACTTTTTATCTTAATTAATGAAAGATTTGAAATGTTTTGGATTGTTCCGAACACACCAATCAAAATGCAGGTATATTATTTGTAATTTATCCTCTATGACTTGAAAGTCTTTTTTTAGTTAACAATTATAAAGGGTGAATCAAACTTATTCATGTTCTATCTATTAAACTTGAATTCACTTATCATTTTTCTTTAATTTGTGGTTAATATAAGTTAATTTGATTGGAAAATGTACCATTTTCTAAAACATAGATCATGATAATAATGCCAACATGAACATAAGTCAGCGATTATTTTTTTTTTTGAGTTGAAAGTCTAAATTCACACCTCACATTTTTTATACTAAACAGGAAAATAAAAATACATTAATTATTATTATGTACAAACATACCAAGTTGAAAGTTAATAACTTGTTAAGAAAACAAAAATTGTGTAAGCAAGCACGAATCTCTTTTTTATATTTGTAGTATCATTTTTACAATTTTATCCATTCTTTTTTTTTTTTTTTTAAATATAACATGTGGGGATGAGATTCGAACTCATGACATTTTGATTAGAGATAGGTACCTTAACCATTTCAACTAGTAAAAGAGTTTCATGGATTTTTTTGGTATGATTTTTCATGCAACTTCTAGTGATGCGACAGAATAATAATTGCATTCATCAATTATTTGAGCGGTTCACCCCAATAATGATTGGAGAGAAAATATAGGTTTTTTTTCTATTTTCTATTTTAACTTTTTCCCTTTTTCCTCTCCAACCCCAATAATGATTTATTTTTTACAACATTAATAATTTAACCTTAATAATAGTTACCTACACTAGTAAATAAGCATAAAATTTAAAAATTCTTACTATCTTAGTTTTTCTATTTATATTATCTTGAATAAGTAGTTAAAAGGTCAACTAAAGCATAGATTAACAGTTAAGACATATGTATCCAAATATGTGGTTGAGAGTTCGAATCTCCCCTCCCACCCATTATACTAAAAAAAATTATAATAAATCTACTAAAATTTGTTAGCCTAAAAAATGTGTCATTTCAACATGTAAGGATGGAGATCGAACTCATAACCTCTGTAAATTATTGTCGAATTATGTTCGTTTTCTATTAAATCTCTTATTAGTCTAGGTGTATCCGTTGGAATCAATGGTTAAGTTAAATAATATATTTAAATTATTTTCTTAATTTATTAATATGATAGAAATCATAGAGTGATAGAGGCAGTTGCTGAATAACAAAGTAATTACAACATAAAGGTAAAAGTTGAGCTCATTTTGTTTTGTGGGCAATGAACAATCCCCATTTCTGCTCTCCACACCAACTCCTGTTCAACTTTGCCTTCCACCCTCCAACAATTTCATTGTAATCTTCCTGTATTTAAAAAAACACAAACAAACAAAAAAACCAAAATTAAAACAGAAAAATGGAATCTAAATCAGTTGCAAAAGAGAAGATGAAAAATGAAGAAGAAACCCACTTCAGAAAAATCATGGATGAATGTTTCCTTCTCCTTTTCAACAGCCTCCAGCTCCCTCTGAAGAACACTCATGAACTACAACCAACAAAAAATTAAAAAAAAATAAAAATAAAAATCTCAACAGCTTTATCAATTTCTGTTTATATTCATGACAAAGATTTGCAAATTGCAAACCTGATCGGTGCGGTCCTCTGCAACGACGTCGTTGAAACCAGCATCCTCAAGCATCTAAGCAACCAGAGCTTCGTCAAAATCCCAAAACCAAAACCAAAACCAAAACCAAAATAAGAAGATTTTGTTACCTGACCGTAGGATTTGATGTCGTGCAAATCGTACCCTCTCTGCTTTATATACTCTGCAAATTCCGGCGACGGAGCGCCGCCGCTTTTGCAGTAATCAGTTATCAGAACTTTCCCTCCCGGCTTCAGCCATTTGTAGAATGATCTGAACAGTGCAGGCTTGTCCTGAATATGCAAAATGGTGTCTCGGCTGTAAATGACATCGAAACTGTTTTCTGGGTACACTTTTTTGGTGCAATCGGCGACTTCGAATTCAACGGCGCATTTCAGCCCAATTGCGCGTTCCAGAGCAAGAGAAATCATGTTAATGGAGAGATCTATTCCGACGACCTCCACATCAAAATTCTCCGCCATGTAAAAATCTCCTCCCCCAATTCCGCAACCCACATCCAGAACCCTCTGCCCAGCCTTAAGCTCCAGTTTCGCCGCAAATTCTTTTGTCGTCTCTGTTCATTCATATTCAATTCAAACCCATTTAGTTAATTATATGGTAATCACTTCACTAATCTATTGGCTTCGGTTTTTGGATCGATTACCGATTCCGCCGGTGCTGACGAACCCTGGTCCGAACACACGCTCGTAGCGGAGAATGCCGCTGCATTTGTACTGTACTGTGTCTAGGAATTGTTGGAATCCTCTGTCATCGTTGGAGCTCTTGACCTTCTGCCATATCCAGCAGATCTGCAGAAACCCACCACCAGATTTTTGGAAATTGAGAAAACAGAAGAGAGAATTTATGATCGGAATTTGTTAATTACCTGATTCTGATTCTTCTTGTTTCTGGCATAAGCTCCGATGCATTTGTAGCCGACGAGGGAGAGCTCGTAGCAATCTCCGGCGTCATCTTGCATATGGCATTCCTTGAACACCTGCAGAGCACCCCAGAAGCTCAGATTATTGCAGGAAACAAAAGAACTCCAAATCCAAGAAATCGGGAAGGTGTAGCAGTTATGAAGTATTTACAAGATTAACGGAAAAAAGTGGTCCATGTTTAAGGAGTTTAAGGGTAAATTTTGATTTGTTTTTGGCAGTACCTTTGTGTAGAATCTTGGCTCTCGGTAGTGGGTGGGGTTGTACTTTCGTTTACAGTCTCCGGATTGATGGAAACAAGACTCTCTGAAGAAAATATAACCCCCAACTCTCAACCATTTTACCATTCTCTCTGCCAAGTTCTTCACCTGCAAAATTTGTAACACAAAATCAAAATGGTTACTTAAATCCAACCAAGTTTAGTAGAAAGAAATGCAATAAATCATAGTCAAGAAAGAAAACTTTTCAGTTGATTAACACCCAAATTATTTGAACGGGATAATGTAAAATTAAGTCAAGAGTCAATTTAACCTTTTCATTCTGTCCATTTTATCATATTAATCTCTCTTAAAAGGAACAATAAAAAATTACTCATAAATCAACGACAAAATTACACTAAATTCAACCCAAAAACACGCAAAATCCTTATAAAGCTTGTTACGTTCTTTTCGCTATGAGATCTTACCAAGATCCAACTAAAAAATATAAACTTTTCAATTTTATCTTATTCCTAAATTTATATAAATGTTGACATTCTTATCATCTATTTGATTTTCATTAATTTGAATAAAAAATAATGTAAAAGACTTTAAAAACTCACAAATTTAATTCCATACTAAATATATATTTTATAATTCATTAAATACTTATAAAAAATATTTTTTTTTAACTATACAAATTACAACACTTTTTAAAGGTGAATATTGTAAAACTTAACAAGTCTATGGTCAAGATAAAATAAAAAATCTACGGTAAAAATTTGATATAAGTTGCAAGTTTTAGAGGTGAAAAAAAAAAAAAAGAACTCTCTTCGTATAATATATATAATTTACCTCTCTATCAGACAAATACATGAGCAGCCAATTCGAGAAGATTAAATCCACAGAATTTTGGGAAACGTTGAGATTTGGAGAAGTTACATCAGCGCACATGAACTTTACGTTTTTGTGGTGCCCATTAATGCTTTCATTCTGCACATACCAACCAATTAACAGAAATATCATAGGGCTTAAAAATGGAATCCAAATCAGAAGCCAAATCTCAACAAACAAACAAGAAATTAGGGCAAAAAATTGAAACGAAAATCCAAATCGGAAGAAAAATCCCTTACCTTCTTGATCACACTCTCGATGAAATCCAATGCAAGAACCTGGCCGGCCTTCTCCGCCAAATCGCCGGTGAAGCGACCAATGCCGGCTCCAAGTTCCACCACCGACTTCCCTTCGTACGACGGAAGCAGAGAAAGCACCTGCAATTTCTCGAACGAATTCGAAATTAAACACTCCACATTTGCTAGCGAATGGAAATTAAAGTTAAATCGTTCGATTATATTAGTTAATTACTTCAGGCCTTTCTTCTTTGTCGAGATCGGAGGCGTTCGAATCGAGCAGCATCGCCTCCACCGTCAGTCCGGCCGAGTGCTCTGTCCAGTACTTCTTCTGTATTACTCGCTCTTCGCCTGCAAATTAAAATTACAACAAATTTCACTCCATCGCCATCGATCTTACACCAAATATACATTAAATTAGGGACAAATGTAGAGCACCATTAGAAGTCGGAGCCGGAGCCGGAGTAGCCATTAGAGCCGGAGAAAGAGAGAGAGAGAGAGAGAGAGAGAGAGAGAGAGAGAGAGAGAGAGAGTAATTTCAGTTGGCTCTGTGTTTGAGTTCAATGGTTATATATTTGGCCTTGCAGTTCATGCAGCTTTTTATAGAGGAAGATGAGCAATTTCTCCATCTGCTGCACCCATTAGAAAATAAATACGACGGCATGGAGTCCAATCTCATGATCATATCCAAAAAATTACCATCACATAACAAAACTTTAGACTAAATAAATAAAATAAAAATACTTTTTTATTATTATTTTTTTAAATGGTCAATTTCGAGAGACGCATAAACGATGAGAAAATAGATTAAAAAAAGGATCATTTTTGTATGATGGTAAATATGATACTTACTACCCGATAAATATAAAAAATGTAGTAAACTCTATATTAAATATCTAAATGTGATCGAAATGTTGATATTTTCATGTATTTATAAATTATAGGTTCGATATCGATATTTCCATAATATTATAAAAATGTCGACAAAATCTCACCCAGACATAGTATTAATATTAATTATTTTTTAATTTATTTATATAAATAAAATACTTATTAATTTAAATATCTTTTACAAATTTTTTATAACTTTTCAAAAAACATTTATCAACCTCAACATTTTATCAATAATTTTATCGATATTTGTATGAAATGATGACTTCGATATTTCTATCACCATTGAAACCTTGATGTACATTTATAAAAATAAAAGGATTTATATTTCAGGGTAGTCTATAAAATTCAAAAAAAAAAAAAAACTTTTAGTTATTGGTACTATTTTATCATTTAATATAGATTTATCTGATAATTGTATTACCCAATTTGTGTGGTGCTAATTTTTGTTTTCCATTAATACGTTTGTATTAATACAAATATTTGAGTCACGCATTTGTTAGAACCAAAATAAAGATAAGAATCAAATTTATTAAATATTTTTTAAATTTTTATAGACCAAAGTAAAATAAATAGGATAGTTGATTTAAATGGGACTGAAGTTGTAAGGCAACAGACAAAAGTGACATTTAAACTAATGAATTGCAAAATGATAATCAAAGAAATTCCACTCAACTATTTTATAGGAATATAAAAAATTATTATATTTAAGTATTGTGTCTAACAAAGTTATTTAAAAATTTACTCAAATCCAAACATATATATTTATATATGACCAAGATTGAAATTAACTTCAATCCAAATGGACAAATCAATGATTTAAACAAATTATTATAATAGTTTTATTAATGCTAAAATCACAACAACTAAAAGTTCAAATATAATTTATCCTAAAAGTTAAAACCATACTTAAAAAAAATCCTTAAAACCTTAAAAAAAAAAAAACCATTTTTCAAGTTACTCGACATGTATGGAGATTTATATTATTTTAAATGGTCAATTTCTTTGATCAATATTTCTTTTAACATTAAAATTACTTTACTTTCTTCTCTCAGGTTAAATAACCCTATTTTCTATTAAAATTTTAAATTAGAGATGTGTTATATTATGATCTTTTAGGTCATAAGTTATAAGTAAAGCAACTATAAAAAAAATAAAAAAGTTAAGCTTTAGAGATCAATTTAAAAAATAAAGAAAAAGCTTTAGAGATCAATTTAAATATTTTTTTTCCATTTTTTATATATATATATTGTACTTTTTTTCTGTTCAAATATATTTTGTAGTTTTCTTCTAACCTAAAATTAAAAGATTATATTAAAAAAATAATAATATAAAAATTTTCCTAAAAAATTGTGTTTTGCGCTTTTGTTGGGAATGGGCAAATTTAGATGGAAAGTGGCGAAAAGACTGCAAAAACGGACAAATAAGGCGTGGGGGGTGGGGCCAGAGTGGAATTATCAAATTCCTTCACAAGGTGGGTCCCACTCTCGAACTCTATAATAAATAATAACAAATAATAAGAAGTTTTGATTTTTTGAGGTCTATTTTTATGTTTTAAAAAGAAAAAGAAAAAAAAGTTTGTGGTTGGAGAAAACATTTTTGGAAAGAATCTAATTGCATTTCTCAAAACAAATAAGATACAAGCATTTTAATGCTTGTCTAAGTATTCCCCTCGTAATTTTTCTACTTTTTTTTTTAAATTTTGTAATCGTATCATAGTTTTTGTATTCTATTTTTTAGTAATGTTTCAAAAATTATTTATCATTCTTTTAATTATAAAATGCATAACAAATACCCATAAATAAAAATTATTTCTTTATGGGAAAAAAAACTTCTGTTAAATTGTTGGAAAATAATAATTTTTAATAAATAAGTGAAGTGAATATAATATAAATAGATAATTAGTCTTCACGGTTTCAACGAAAGTCCTGCGGTTAGTTTTGCTATAAAACAAAAATTATTTCTTTACTAAGAAATCGACCAACGTAATATAATTTCGGTTAAGAAATTTTGATAGTTAGTTTTTACTTTCACAATATTAAATGAACTCAGCTTATACCCAAATTTAACTGTCTTGAGAACACGTGCGAGGTGGAATAGATCGAACTATTCGAAACGATCTATGTGATGAGAGACATGCACAAAAAGAACAAACATTTCGACGCTCGAATATGTACGAACCCGACCTATAGTTCTCAAGACGAAGAATTAGTATATCTGCATGCAGAAATGAATGTCTATTTGTAAGAGAAAGGTTGTGCCTCTCACGACTTCCATATGTTAAGCCATTCACATAATTAGTTAAGCGGTTACAAATGATAGCATGAGATATACTTCAACATCAACCTATACGCAGGCTATCAATAGGTTCCGAGCTATATGGGTGCACTTTGGACGAGTTCAATAACTCAATCGCTGGATATTTTCAAATGAAAGATTATATTTTACCTCCAACATAGTCTATAATTTTTATTTAAGAAAAATATTCTAAAAAGTTAAATATATCAATTCAAGTATATAATTCAACCATTAAAATATTTGTAAACTCTTTAATATGCTTAAAAGCTTGATCTCTCACCCACAAGTTTGCGAAGAAAAATATCATTTGATGCAAAGAAAAACTTGAATGATAAAAATGACCTCTCACAGAGATATACATATTAAATGGAATTGACCACCCAACCAATGGCTGATGGCCACGTTTACACGAGGTCCACTCATGTTATTGACATTTCTTTTACATTTTTTTCCGTCCACCACTAAATTATTGTTTTATTATAATAATAATGCAAACTTTAGAATAAGATTCAAGTGGATTCTCCTCTTTTCATAATGATTCCAATCGGGTCGTTATAACGTGTGACTATTACTTTTCTTTTCACATGAATGTTATTTTCTTAGTACAAAAAATGGAATGAGAGAATTCGAACTCATGACTTATTAGTTAGAGACATATACCAATTATCGTTGAGCACGTTAGCTTTACATATATATTTTCAAAAACATTATATGTTGGGTCTTCGAGAACCCTGGCCTCTAAGATTTGACATTCCCTCCCCCGAGTTGTCTTAAAAATTAAATGTTGATGGCTGATGGGGCTTGCAGAAATCTTTATAATGCTACTGGTTTGGATCTCTTTCTCCGTGATTCTAATAGTAAAATTCACGTCGTAGGAGCTGTCACATTCCTACTGCTTGTCCGCCTTTGTTGGTTGAGCTATTTGCGATTCTCGAATGTCTCCGGATTGCTCGCTCCTTAAATTGCAACAGCCTTCTTATTGAATTCCATTGTCTCACCACAATTCGGCTGCTAGAAGTAGTAGGGAAGATTTCAACTCTTGGGATGAATCAAATTTGTTGTTGGACATTGAGAGAATAGCCTTTAAATTTTGGTACCATCTCTTTCCATCATCTCCATCGAGCAGCCACATCTTTTTGGCTTTTATAATTTTCTAATTTGGCTATTGAATTCTGCAAAGGGTGATACCCTTCAATGCCATGCAACATCTTTTTCTATTAATTAAATTCTTTTTTATTTTTTTATAAAAAATCTACCTACCCCAAATTTCCAAACTCAACCAATATATTAATAAATATAAATGATAAAATAAAGGAATTTCCAAAATAGTACGGACAATGACAACTTTTCTTTTATAAAGTATATTTATTTATCTTAAAAAGTGAGTCTAGCTTACCGGTAATTAACACCTTCCTCCAACCATGAGATTGTGAATTCGAATCCTACCCCCACATGTTGTACTAAATCACTCGCTCTTACAATGTAAGCAAAATGGAGTCGCAAACACTTTAACAATTTATTGCAAAGGTACAACAACATTCGAGAATTTAGATCAAAGAATACCCAACAAAGGTTGGGAGAGTCATGTACGTCGATGTATTCCAATAAGATATTATTTTTTATTTTATTTGGTTAAAATACTATTTTGGTCCATTTATTTTTAAACTTTGATTTATTTTGGTTTCTATACTTTTGAAATATTCATTTTGGTCCACCTGCTTCAACTCTAGTTCATTTTAGTTTCTTTATTTTCAGAAGGTTTGTTTGATCCATGTACTTTAAAAAGTAACAATTTTTTATCCCTATTTGAACATTTTTAAAACAAATTATATACAAAAACCATTTTAATATAAAATCATGATTACATTTTAATAAATGTATTGAGTGTAGTGTCTTTGTTAAAATTAAGGTAGAAAAATGATATTAAAATAAAATTAAAGAACTAAAATGATTACTTCTTAGAAGTACAGAGATCAAAACAAATATTTTAAAAATATATAAACTAAATGAACAAAAAAAGCTAAAAGTACACACTATAGAGATAAAAAACAGAGACTAAAATGAATCAAAATTCAAATGCCGAGGACTAAAATAATATTTCAACCTTCTTATTTTCACAATTGAGATAATTTATTCATTTTGAAGATGTAAATAGAAATAGCTATACCAATTTCTCGATTTAATGCCACTGGTGCATAAGTTCATTAGATTGTGGCCCACATTGCAAAAATTTACTCCTCTTAAAAAGTATTTTCTAAAAAAATAAAATGTAAATGGCTTAAATTTAATAGAAAACGAGGAGAATAAATTGGTTTTTTTTTCTTTTTTTAATCCATTTGATTTGATTCTTTGACATTGACATTTGTGCCTCAATAATCGGCATGGATCTTGTAAAAAAAAAAAAGATAACGACAATAATAATAATAAATAA